ATTTTTCCTAAAGGGTGCCGTTCTGAGAACTTTTATTCGTCATCTTGTTCGCGTCGTATTAAACAAATAATAAATCTGCTAAATACATGCATTTAAAAAAGCACCGTTTCCCGGATAGGGCACTGGGATGTTAAGAAATTCATTAAATATTCGCAAAGGCTTATAATCACCCTGTTGTCCTCGAAAGTTTTCGTATTTGCCGACCAGAATGTAGTTCCGTCAGATGGTGTGGTGCTTTCCCACTTGTTAGGCACGTATGAGGCTAGTGTTTTGACAGCCTTTACAACCTCCACCCTTCACTTTTGCTTAATTCTGTAGTTTTATTTAATAATATGCAATATATAGTAGTGAAAAATATAAGGTTACAAATATTTCTTGTGCATCGAAGAAGACCGTCAGTCAGATCGGAAATAACGAAGAGCAGACAAAATGATGCTGTTCATGTTCAGCAGGATCGCATTTAACTGTTCCCTGGACCTACCAACAAAGTAGTAGGGACTGAGTTCACCAGTCTCCCGCAAACAATTCCATTTAAGATTTGGCTCAAGGGCTTAAGTCGACCATAGTGGGGACTTTTTAACTGTTTTTCATCATCATCAATATAACGGGAGGAAATGAACCAATAGTTTGTCCTCGACGTGAAAGTCAAATGAACGACAGAAGGAACTTTCCTTTCCGGTTTGCCGCTCTTTCGTACAATAACTTAATAACCACGATCCCCCTGATTTGTATCGCAAAAAATATTTCCAACTATCTCCTAGATTGAATAATCGAATTTGAGCTTAATTCCTCCTCTCCCACAAAACCCCTATCACCACCATTTCCGTAGGACAGAATTCTGGGGCTAGGGTTATATGCGATGCAACACTTAAACTAACTTTGACCTTGTCTTAAAAATAGTTTTTCGTATTCTAAAGAAGAAAATCTTTTGAAGATTGCGACACCCACAACGCGTAACTGGGATATATATACTATCTCGACTTTCGGCTTAGTCGCAGTAATAGCCTGGGCCAGTGTGCGCATAGCTACGGCGGTTGTTCATCTTTCTTGCAAAGTAATTAGTCACTTAAATACGAACTTTACTCTTTCATGCATCTCGTTAAATTTCTTATATAAACCATTTTAAAAATAGGTCCTGGTTTACTGATCGTTGGCATTAGCATGTTGCGATTGCCTTCAGCCTGCAGCAGTCGCTCTTTTTACTTACAGAATTTGGAGTCTTGGCGTCAACGCAGGCGTGCGGCCTCCAAAACTTTCTCCTCCAGGACTGCGACCATTAATCGATCTCAAGAGGCGGAGGAGGAACAGGATGATTCTATCCGAGAATATCTTCATCAACTCAAGTAAGCCATCTTATGACGCAATATCCTAGAAAATATACACTGTAACCGAAAGAAAGATATCGAAAGTTTCTTTTTGAGATATTTTTCACTCTTATCAAAGTAATTAAACCCGGTAGTTGTTAAAGTTGCGAAAATTCCCGTCAGAGAATTCAGAAGAGTGTTTGGCGAGCATACGTAGCTCTCGATAAATTCTCTTCGGGCTGTTACATTTATATAGGGAGGGGGTAAAAAGTAACATGCTGGTAAATCACAAAACGCAAATTAGTCATGGGGATAGGGGAGGGGGCGTAGGGTTGATAGTAATCAGCTGGTTGCAAGTCGATGAGGGTTTGTTGAGTCCGGACAGGAGATAGCGGGGGGGGTTGAAGTGGTAGAAAGCGCGAAAAGATGCAGGTAGTTACGTAACCATTGGCCATGCCAAAACAACAGTAGTTATTTTTGTTTTTAATGCTTCCGCGTTAGCGTAACATGCCTTTGTGAATTGAATGCTAGAAGCCAATTTAGCGGCCTAGTTGACTAATTCTCTAAAGGGAAGCGCGAGGATCCATGTGTTTAATGTAGGCCGCTTCATTTTTAACTTTATCCTCATGCTGGAATATCTGTTGATACAGGGCACTTAAACACAAAGCAATGATACTCTGGGCGCTTCGTTTGTCGGTCCCCATCCTAGACAATGCACATTAGATTTCAAGCACGAGGTAGTTTTCTTGCCATTTGTTCCTCTGGCCATAAAATGACAGAAATTATCCGGTTTTCCGTAGGTCTAAGTAGATACAGCGGTCGGATTATTTACGGTAGCCTGAACAGATAATAGTAGAATCGAATAACCGGACCCAAGAATTTTAAGGTGCATTACATATCAGAAAGTTCGCCCGAAGTACGTTTTACTGGCGACATCCTATGGGCTGTTTTATGTCTATACAGACTGAAAATTTAGGAGTTGTGTTGTTTGAGACTTAAGTTAACAAACCTCAATCCCTCAATCATCACTTGTCAAAAGTCCAATACTACTAAATGTCTTAAGAGAACTATATTTAACGTAATTGGCTGCGCATTATCGAAAACAATCCAGTCAATCCTGCGACCAACGTTTTGTTGTATGCAAATTCAGCTGATTATGGCCGTGACAGCACGCGCACACAGACAAATCTTGTCCGATTACGTATTCATAAGCATTCACAACAAAAGGATGGGTCGAAGGCTCTGCACGTGGCCGTTAACAGTTCGTTTTGGATTATCTGCTCCTCAAAAATGGAAGTGAATATGCGAGCCGCAGATCCTTGTCGCGAAGAAGACAAAGGCACGATCACTGGGACAGCACTTGTATCAGGCTGAGTTTTCGAACTCGTACAGAAGGCCCTCTTCAGAGACGAGAAGTGGCGTGTTTTGTAGTCCAACTGCGAGAAAATTGGGTGTTAGGGATAGAAGCTCATTTTTAGGTGAATTCATGTCCACTTCGTCTCTCTATGTCGTCTTGGCGTGCGTCCTTGGACAGGAACCGGGCCACGCTTCTTGGCCGCGTGAACGGAGGGCATTATAAGAAGGCAGTACGTCAATGTGTCTGTTGATGAAGTTGCATTGTGATACCCAGGCCTCAAGTAGTTCTCGGTCCGTCTTATTACTGGCTCGTGCCATTATCCACGTTCCTGGGAAGTTGAATTCGTGGCCTTCCTCCAGGGTGTGGGTAGCGATCTGGCACAGTGGGTCGTCTTTCCGTACTGCTAGTTTGTGCTCCGTTATTCTTGATCTAAGTCGTCACCCGGGCTGCCCCATTTAATAGGAAGAAAAGTCGCGACACGGCACTTGATAAACGACGCCAGTCTGTTCACCTCTT